GCACCCATAAAATTGGAGCACTCTTATTTTCTTATTTGGGGAAAAAAAGTATGATGAAAAAGTCATGCATTTCACTAATATTACAGTGGTCTATAACCTAAATATTATTTATAAAGTAACTGGACTATAAAGAGCAATTTTTAATGATTATTTAGGTGGAAAATAATTATTCACGGTGGTATAGATGGATTTTCAAGAAAAGTAATGTTTATGTCGTGCAGTGGGAATAACAAGGCAACAACAGTTTTAAGTCATTTTGTCAAAGCACATGGTTTACCTTCCCGTGTTCGTGCTGATCAGGGTACTGAAAATGTCGGTGTTGCACGATACATGTTAAACCATCCAGCTAGAGGACCTGCATGGAAGAGGGAGCTTCATCACTGGCCCAAGCGTTCACAACCAAAGGATTGAACGTTTTTGGAGGGATCTTTTTGTTGGTTGTCTTTATATTTACTACTCTGTTTTCTTCTATATGGAAGAAGCAGGTTATTTAGACTTAAGCAACGAGGTCCATATGTTCTGTTTGCATTATGTATTTATTGACAGAATAAACAAACATATTTCTCATTTTCATTCTCATTACACATTTAATTGATCAGATTTATACCAATTATAAACGATAAAAGATCAGTTTATCTGAGAGACTTATGCACTAAGTCTCTAGCTAAGGTATTTATTATATGGCATATACAGTATTTAGTTTATTTATTTATAAAATGCGCTGCAGCATTCTTGGCGGCTCTTTTGTCAGCCAGTCGCCACGCAAGCACTGTAGTGCATGGCTTCCAAAACTTTGTTTTTTACTCGTTAAATAAGAATGATACAGTAATACAAACAAAAATCAAAGATGAATAAATATAATATTCACATGTACAAAATAATGCTCTTCTTCGTCCATTCTCCGTCGATATTTTTCGTGTCAAAAGTAAAAGTGCAAGCTTGTTTTTGTTCAAAAATATGAGAGTTGGACCGTTACTACGGCAACGGTCTAATACTGGGGGGTTCCAGACCGGCACAGAGCCAATTAGCGCACGCCATTTTAGTCAGGAAACCGCGTGCCATATAATAATTGTTCTTATTACAACTAGAAAAGACTTTTTGCTTATATACATCACTAACGAAATAATTTTTGAGCGAGCAAATTATAGAAGCATGCAATATAACGTAATTTGCAGTTTTATTTAATTAAAAACTTTAATTGAACATCTTTTATTTTCAAAACAGCGAATGCCGCTCGTAAACAGTACGTGCATTATTATCTAGCCTAGTTTCGACAAATTTAACAGGCGAATTGCAGCCGTCACTCAGTATTTCTATCAAACCTCATTTTAAGGGTAGTTATTGTTATATGACCATTCACATTATTTTACAAATAATGAAAAAAATATATATTTTGTTGGCATATGCTGTGCATATATATTGCTACCGTGCATGTTCGTTAGCCATTCAGAGTCACCAATATTGGGCAACATTAAATATTTAAAAGAAACATTCAACGACATTCAAGCTATTTTACACTGATTAAAATAACTTTAAAAGACCTGAAAACCAAAACACTGAAAACCAAAATAGTGAAAATACCACGACTTAATTTCTTCAGGAGAACGATCGAGGCCCCTTATTTAATTTAATTCAAACACCGGATATTACTGAAACTGAAGTGTAAGTTATAGAAGTATGCAATATAACTTAATTTGCAGTTTTAGTTCATTAATAATTTGAATAAATTAATTATATTTTATGTTCAAAACAGCGAATGCCGCTCGTAAACAGTACGTGCATTATTATGTAGCCTAGTTTCGACAAACTTAACAGGGGAATTGCAACCGCGTCACTCAGTATTTCTGTCAAATCTCATTTTAAGGGTATTTATTGTTATATGAACACTGACATTATTTTACAAATAATGAACTAAAGTATATTTCGCGAAAGATTCGGCAAAATATTTGGGATTTAATTGCGTGTGGCATATGCATGCTGTGTATCTCGGAAAAGACTTCCACTCATTCTCCCAATGAGAAAGCCTTATCTATGCTGTAATTTATTTTTTTTTTCTTTCCCCTTCGCATCCGCACCCACACAGCCATTAAACATTTTCGAGTGGTGTTACCGAATTAGTGGTGTTACCGAGCGACCAAATTAACACGAAAAACGACATTCAATTAAGCTACTAAACGTTAATGAAAATGACTTGTAATTCATGCACAACACAAATGACATTATTTTGACAATGAAGCCTATGAGTAAAGAACTAAAGTTTTTTTTCCTTGACGAGAACTGTTTTACTATTATAATTTTCATCTTATATACATGCCCCTGAATTCAAGCAGAAGCGAAATTAGTCCCATTCATTTATTATGGTTAAAAAGTTGCCATTTTTATCAGCAATGTTTTATGGTTTTTGAATTCGAACTTGATGAGAGGGGAGCATTGCATAGAACATACATGCTTGCATGCAGTACCCGCCATTGCGCTCAAAAAATCACTAAAAAACCTTAATAAATTATTATGTCCGTGTTGACATAGATCATCGATTGATTTAAAAAGGAAAAAAAAACAACGTAGCTACAACTCATACCGCCATACCGCTCTAATATGCGAAATGCTGTTTAAAAAGACCGCAACACTCAAAACCAAAACACCACGACTTAACTTCTTCAGGAGAACGATCGAGGCCCATCATGAACAGTTCAATTCAAAAACTGATGTATATTACCGAAGCTGAAAATTATAGAAGCATGCAATATAACTGAATTTGTAGTTTTAGTTGGTTAAAAACTTAAATTAACTATATATCTTTTGTTTTCAAAAAAGCGAATGCCTCTCATAAATAGTACGTGCATATATTTGGGCTAACTTAACGGGCGAATGGCAGTCGTCACACCAAAAAGTTAATAATAAGGAGTATTGGCTGGTTGTTATTAGATATGAATTACCGTTTATGTTTCAGGAAAAAATTTAGGATTACAATTGCTCTTATTTACGTGTGGCACATGCTGTGTATTTTGGAACAGAATTCCACTATATTCTTTATAATGAGAAAACCTTATCAACTGTAATTTATTTTAGTTTTTCTTCCCCCTTCGCATCAGCGTCGGTTATAAACTGTTAGGAACAGCCTATTTTCTATTAGCTAACTCCCACTTCTTTCCTATATGTAACCCCAGATGACACAGCCATCAACCATTTGTCGAATATTGCAACGTGTTCGCCAGCAGTTAAGGGTTAATTATCAATTTAATACGAAAAAAGACATTCAAGCTATCATTTGCATTGACTAAAATGAATTATGACTTATTCAATGACTTTGACTAGCCTAAGAGTAAAGAATTGAAGTGTTGTTTGCATAACAAGAACTGTTTATATAATGTTGAACTTGTACATGTCTCCTGAATTCAAGCAGAAACAAACGAAATTAGTAGCTACCATTCTTGTTAAAAATTCGCCATGAAAAGACACGGTTGCTTATCTCAGAAGGCAGAGCCTGGCGCAATACATGCAATTCTGCTGTGCCAAAGAATTAAAGGACAGACAGTGGCGTAGCCAACCTTAAAATCCATCGTATACTATCATGCTATAAACATTTTAAGTCAGTTTTATCATTAATTCCTCCAATTGAAATCAATTGCTTTCGCAGTTGGTGAAAATGAAAAATGACACAATGCAAATAAGCGCAAAGCTGCTTGGTTACAGTGTACTATTGGTGTCAATGAGCGTGTATATAAAAATTATATAGAAGGGCACACACATGCAAGGTCACAGCATGGTTCACAATTCTGGTTTACATGGTTTACTGACCTGCTTGATGCCTAGTTTAGACAAAACACGGTTGCATGATGATGTGTTTTGAACCTTGCATGACGGGCATTGACACAAAGTAATTTATATTTATAAGCGTCGGACATATATTGCATTTCCGAAGGAATTAGAATAAATGATGCCGAGTATTGCAAGCCCACGCGGAATAAAAATTAGCTAATCATTAAATATAATTGACTATACACAGTGTGAGGGATAAGAAAAGTTTCGCACAAAAAATACAGCACTTTATTACGTATAATTATAGCCAATTTATCTATATAAATTATTGCCTATACCATGTAATTTAGAAAAGTTTCTAGCGAATATATGTTTGAACATTGAGAGATATAATTTAATAATTTAAAATTCCTTACCGATATATGGTCGTTTTTCTTTTATTCACTTTCCACTTTCTGGATATGGCAGCGCCTGCTCTTTCAACGCCCTAAATGAAATGAATTACCCAGCGTGAAAAATACGCGCTTTCTAACAGAGTGTTCACTCCAGATGTTACACAAGAGCCTTGCAATTAACAAATAAAATTAAACCGGATATTACTCCTTTCAAAATTTGAAGACTTGTTTTTAGCCGCGCACCGCGCACGTCCACTTAATTATTGCAGTAGTTATTCCCTGTCAAGTGTCAAAAACATTATTTTCATTACAATATTTTTATTACTTAGGGGCTGTTTATACATACACACATCGCCTTTATTAAAAAACACGCTATACCATTTAGTAAAATGCTGATATGATCCCGCCTAGCCGCGGAAAACGACAGTTTCCGAGATCCCGCTTGTAATACAAACAATATAATTATAATGAGTGTTTATATGATAACTCTTCCATCCCACCTTGGCAGGATCGCGGCAAGAAGCGCCATTTTCCATATATATAAACACTCCATCCCGCTTGGCCGGGATGATGTCGCGATAGACATACTTTCGGAACATGCGTATATTCGTTTCCTACCATAAAACATGGCATCGAACAACCCTGTACTATAAAATTATCTCGATATAAACACGCCATCCCGCCTTGGCGAGTTTCATATACACATGCTAGACGGGATCATATAAACAGGCCCTTATAGCTATTATTCAGTTATGTATAAAGGTCATTATATGATGAAGTTACCGTGTATGCACAATTCTAACTATAAACATGCGTATTACCGTCGTTTGATTTTAAACCTTGCCATCAATAAATAAACACTAGAATATGAGATCAGAACTGATTTTCAATGATCTGTATGACATTGCAATAATTTATGAAATCTCGGTTAATTGGAAAATTAAACGAGACTTACCTGTAAGTTGAAGTTTGATTGAGATTCTGATTGCATCAGGGGTGAATCTTGAAAACCTTATACATTGGCCAGAGTTTCCAGGTCGACTTGTCTTTGTATGTTCTAGGAGTTGAAATGTGCATGAACTTTCGGTGAGAGTCATTCCTGTTATATCAAGCATAACAATAGACTGACCCCTCTGTGCAGTTACCAATGACAACAACATAACCAATTTAAGTGTCAATTCCTTTAATGGTATTTCCTTATTAGGTGTAAGTGTTTTGAGGTATGTAAGAACTTTGTCAACATCCCATACAGTGTTATATTTTGGCACCGGCTTTCTGGTCAGAAAGACTCCCTTTAAGTATCTGGACACAAGAGGATGCGTACCAAATGTTTCTGATCCATGAATGTTAATGATTGTAGACAAAGCTGACCTTGCTGTATTGATGGCTGAATAACTGAGACCAGCATTGTAGAGTGTTTGTAAGAAATTCATTGCCTGACTTAGTTCCGGTTTATATGGATTACCCTGTCTTTGATGACAAAAGTCCAACCACTTGGTAATGTAAGTGTGGTATTGCTTTTTTGTGTTACTTCGCCATGATGACATGATAACTTGGGTAACTTCTTCTGATAGCTGGAAGTTTGCCAGGGATTCCCTGATACAGGGCATACTATCAGCTTTAGCTTTGGGATTGGGTGTGTTTTGTACTGTGGATGGCTCAACATCGTGTCTAGATGCTGGTCGAGGACCCATGGTTGACTGTGCAATAATTGCAACAGGGGTGTGAACCATGCCTGAGTCGGCCAAAGTGGGGCCACCAATATTCCTGTCGCTTGGTCCATCTGGATTTTTTGAATGCAGCGTTGGATCAGACTAAAAGGTGGGAAAGCATAAAAAAAGTTCATGTGTCGCCAATCAACTGTGAATGCATCAATGTATGTACAATAGGGGTCCGGCTCCCATGAGGCATAGTTCTCAAGTTGATGATTTAGTCGGCTTGCAAACAAGTCAACATTAATATTAGGATAGTTAATTAGTATCTGCTGAAAATACAACTTGTTAAGCTGCCATTCATGTTCATCTTTAAACTGTCTAGATCTTCTATCAGCTATAATGTTATGAACCCCAGGTATATGGGCTGCAGACACCCAGATGTTGCGAGTGATACACCAATCCCATAATTCGCATGCAAGCTGATTCAAATCCTCTGATTTGGAACCACCCATATTTTTTATGTACGCTATTGCTGTGGTATTATCTAATTCTAGTCTCACATGATTATCACCCATTCCAGGGCAAAATGCTTTAAGCCCAAAGAATGCAGCTCTGAGTTCTAGGGCATTAATATGTTGCTCTTGTTCCGCAGCTGACCAACGGCCACCTGTATTTTTCTCAGAGCATGCTGCACCCCATCCGGCTTTTGAAGCATCTGTCTGGATGGTAATTGAGGGTTTCCCATGTGTTATATGCTTTTGGGAAGTAGCTATGTTATCTAACCACCATTGTAATTCCTCACGGGACTTTTTAGATAGATTTACATGTCCCTGGTAGCTACCTTTAGAGGCAGAAAGGGCTAACACTTTATCTTTTTCCAAATTACGATAGTGTGATGGCCCAAACTCCACACCTGGAAAATTTGCTACCAGTACCCCAATAACCTCAGCCAACTCTTGAATGGTGGGGTTCTGTTTGTTTAAAAGCAGCATGCAACCCTGTTCAGTTTTCATAATTTTATCAGGGGTTGGTGTAACAGTCATTGTTATAGAGTTTAATATAAACCCCCAAAACACAATAATTTGTGTCGGGTTTAATATGGATTTCTCCCGGTGTGGGGTGAACCCCACTTGTTCGAAAAGGCCTTTAGTTGCCTTGACATTGTTAGTGCATTCGGTTACTGTGTCTCCTAGCAGAAGAGAGTCATCAATGTAACCAAGGTTAGTATGCCCTTGTTCATGCAGTGTGGCATATACTGGTTTCATCAGTTTTGTGAATAGACGAGGGGCACTAGAGAGGCCATTAGGCAAGCACGTGTACTGATATAATTTCCCATCAAATTTGAATTTAAGGTACTTCTGAAAATCATGTTGGACCGGTACACTATAATAAGCATACAGTAATTATGTAAATCGCAGTGTGAATTGTAACGGAAAACAAAATCGCGCGTCTTTCCTCGTTGAACGCAAACCGTGCAGTGATTGGGCGCAGGCGCAGTGCTATCTCATGTGATACCAACCTGCCAGTCATGTGATAGAACCAACATCGGCAACGTTTTACTTTGTCGCCTTTAAGGAAACGTTTGGAACTTTATATCATACTGAGTAATAATATTATGAGACGCCTGCTCAGGGTTACGCGCATAATTTCGTTCACCGCCAATCTGCTATGGATGCTAGCAGTAGAATAGTTGGTAGAACAGTTTCGAATCAGCTCTTAAGCCAGTTTTCCGCTAGCGAAATTTTTCGCACGAATCGACATTTTACTTTTGTTTCAGAGCTCTCAACTGCAACCATCTGGAATAAATTGCTCGAATACAAAGGAATAAAGTCGCTTCGCGCGAAAAATATCGCTAGTGGAAAACCGGCTTTAAATGAAGGGCATCGACTTCATTATTCACCGACAATGACTTCGGTTGGGCGAATAACTTCTAAAGAGAGGCAGAGACACAATGGCATCTCTTTAGTCTAATGTTAAGTGTAGAGTGTAGCAGGGCGTAGGAATATAGTTCATCACAATATAGTTTTAGTGTTATGAGTTTTAGTGTTTCATAGGTTCAAGAAAGACAGCGCAAATTAGTTCGCTAAATGTTGTCATCTAGCGCAATTGTTCTCAAAACAACTTCAAAATAGTATCTCTCTCGAGGTAATTCAAAATAGTATCTCGGCGCCAACTATGGCGCCTCGTAAACGTATACACCCCCCCCAATCTTGAGCACATTCTACGACCCGGAGCGCAGAATACACTGTAGAGTGCCTATACGTAATCATATTCAGCATTATCAACGTCAGGATTATTCAGTTTTCTTAGAAAAAAAGAAAATGCAGTATATACTATACTAACCACTTATTAACCGAATTTGAGGTCCGTACAAAAAATATCAGACCGAGGTCTTGACAGTACGGACCGAGCGATATAGCAAGGTCCGTACATGCATAAAAGACCGAGGTCTGATATTTTTCCAGTACGGACCGAACGTATTCGGTTATTAAGGGATTTATTATATGGCATACAGTATTTAGTTTATTTATTTATTTATACAATGCGCTGCAGCATTCTTGCCGGCTCTTTCGCAAGCCAGTCGCCAAGCAAGCACTGAAGTGGCTTCTAAAACTTTTTTTTTACTCGTTAAATAAGAATGATACAGCTAGTAATAAAAACAAAAATCAAAGATGAATAAATATAATATTCACATGTACCAAATAATGCTCTTCTTCGTCCATTCTCCGTCGATATTTTTCGTGTCAAAAGTAAAAGTGCAAGTTTGTTTTTGTTCAAAAATATGAGAGTTGGACCGTTACTATGGCAACGGTCTAATACTGGGGGGTTCCAGACCGGCAAAGAACCAATTAGCGCACGCCATTTAAGTCACGAAACCGCGTGCCATATAATAATTGTTCTTATTACGACTAGAAAAGACTTTTTGCTTATATACATCAGTAACGAAATAATTTTTGAGCGCACGCATACAGGAGTTTGTCGGTGCAAAGCATTTATTAAACATTTTTTTTCTTCCAATCACACCAGTGCAAGATGTATTTTATCGCTAAATGACTTACTTGCAAACACTCTCCTTATTTTTTCCATGTGATCTGGAATGGAGGGAAAAGACCTGGCCAGTTGTCAAATGAAAACCCATTTCTTAATTGTAACAACTTAATATCTCTCAAAATATAATTTTTTTCATTTTCCAATTTATTTCAGAGCTATAGTTCTTATAACTAATTTCGAAAGAACAACAAAATTTATGATAAATTAAATACTGCTGAATGGATTGCCATTTGCACACCATTTCTAAGCGCTGAGTGGCTAAGCAAGATCACATGGGTGTTATCAAACAATTATTTACATGTTCGTGAAGAATGGTTTATGATGAAGGTGTTGCTGTTCACAGCTATATAATTTATATGCTCATTATACCGCTACCTATCTTAAGGCCCGCTCTTATTTGAACGTCAGTAACTAATTTACTCCATCACATCTATCAAAAAAAGAAAATCCCACATGAGATAGCAGCAAAAAAACGGGCCTTTATAGCTTGTTATACCGACACTGTATATAATACACCGAAAAGAGCCCTTATAATTATGTTCATCAAACGGTTTGTATCTGCTTCTTTTTATAATGCGTCACCCGAAGATTTGCAATCGTGTTAAGCCGGCGCGCACTTACAAAACAACATTCAGTTTAAATATAACACTTCACATCTGCTAGAGTAAAAATTGAGTTGCCAGCAAGGAGGGCTCGTGTTTTGCTTTCATCCAAGATATATCCACACAGAGCTTGATAGGAATAACCAGGATTTGCGACATCTTTTCGTGTACATTTATCAATATCGCTGTCAACAACGCTAAGATCAGGACCAGTCCGAAATTTAATTTATAAACTCATTTTAATTAAGTGAGGTTGTTATAACGATGGAAGAGGTCTTTCAGAATTCAGATCTCATCGCCTCGATACACCTGTACTTCTCTGCAAATTCTCCGCATTTCTTGAATACCCAAGCAGACACACCGCACCTGTTATCTGGATCCCTATTCAAGTCGTCAACATCAAAAATACTGGTTGGATTTAGATTCGTCGTATTTCCAGTATTCAAGTCAATAACATGTAGTGATTTGAATAGTGCATGGGTAACGTAGTAGACCTTTCTTGTTACATGATCTACTGTAAACCGAGATATGGTCTTGAGAGATGCTATCGCGTGGTTGCATTACTTCCGTCCAGTTTAACTGTGATAAGACTGCATGGTGCCATCGTAGTAGAGGAGTCTTTTAGTCCCAGAATCATAATTTAGTTTCACGTCGGTTGCGGATAATATATGGTCACTATTGTGTTACCGTCAGAGAATACGCCTTTGATAGCATCGTTTGTTGCATAGTATATGGCATCGACTTTGCACGTCAACACTACCCAAATTACAAAAAAAGGATTATTACACAGAATACATGGACAACCGCTCATTGTACTCTCAAAATACACACAACTCTCACGTTAAACGTTAAAAAGAGTTTAAGAACCTATATCTATAATTATTATCCATTCCAATTTATATACAATCTCCACTTTGATTGGTTATAGCCCCGAACAAATAATTATGGCATAAAATTTACAAAAGATTATAACTCCTGGCATTTGTAGTTATGATGTCAAATTTACAAGTAATTCCTGGTATTCTTTAATTATGAAGTCAAAACAACAAAATAAAATCAATAATAAGAACATAATTACTGGGTAAAATACTTCGTTATCACTACCCTTATTTTAGTTAGTTCAGGTGAATAATAAAACATTATTGGATTCCGTTTTTGCGTGATATTTAGAATTGCTAAGGCCTCGTTTGGAGTTATTTGCCTCAGGTAGCGGCTTTAGGAGATAACGATAATAGATTTTTATTTTGAAATATTCTTTAGATACCCATGACCAATAGTGTTGTTATTAAAATATTTTTAATCTAAAATTTAGCTTTTTAATTTATTCTGTCTAATTCTAGATCCGGCACTGGCTAAACTCTGGCTTGATAAAATTATTAATTCTCAATATTACGGCCAAGCTCGTCCAATAAATTTTTAATAAAATTATGCATTTTACATCATTCCGAGGGTAGGCGCAAGATTACATGACAGTTGAACATCGGTCCTTATGACAGATAAATCTTTGCGATTACCTTCACAAAAGAAGCCATCTCCACTGTAGTTTGCTTTGCAAGCGCAGTCGTATGATCCATCCACGTTTGTGCAAGTTGCCTTTGAATGACACGGAGCAATCGTTTCGCATTCGTTGATATCTAAGTTCGATATAATTGTACAAATTTACGAAATGTTCCCCCTGAATAAATCAATCCCATTAAATTGGCGGGCATTTCTCTCTTGAAGAGGAAAAAAAGTTAAACAGATATGTTTGTATAGCTATAGTTAATGGCTTTAGCATTTCAAGATCATATAACAAGCACAATGCTGGAGGTGCCAGTCGTAGGCGTTAATAAAGTTTTCTGTGAACATCAATCTTCGTGATGTGTTCTATAATGTTCAAAATATGACCACGCTAGAACCTGCCTGTGCGATTTGTTCCATTCCCTTCATACCCAGATAGACGCTCGCACGCGTAAGAACCATCAGTACGTGTAGATGAGACCCGTTACGCGCCTATTCGATGTCGACGTTTTGTAAGTACTTGTTAAAATACGGAATACGAGCCAGTTGATATGGAGAATTATGGAGAATTACAGATGGATACATGTGACCAAAATACTGTGCAATGATTGGAAGTTAGACTTATTAATTATTCATTTTTTAATAAATTTTATTTGAAATTAAGTAATTGTAAAGGGGCTAGATACGTGGGACGAATAAATTCAAATAATTTATGATGATGAGTTAACCAGTGAAATTTTTTCTTAAAAACCAAAAAGTGATCTGCATAAATGATTAAGAGGAAAATTGTTCTTAATATTCCTAAACTACAAAATATGCATGCCGAGGGAAAAGTTCAATGACATCACCATCGAAAATTAGGAATATTGGGCGGCGTCTCTCTTCAGGTG